GGGGGGGGGGCGGAGAGGAGCGAAAAAATACAGAAGACGATCAGAGCTCCATAGAACACCGCTCCCGAACCCCACAGAGGCCCCTCCATAGGCCCCACGACCCCCACCGGACCCACAGACCCGCCCCTCCCCCAATACAGACCCCACGACCCTCCCACAGACGCCCCCACCCCACCGATCCGCTCCAGCTCCATCCCCACTGCTCCGCCGGGCGCTGACCCGGAAGCGCTCCCCCCTGCCCTCAGCGAAAAGCGGAAGTTCCGGCTGCTAACCGGAAGTTCCGGATGCCGAGCGGAAGTGCTGCAGCCGAGCGGAACAAGTGCGGCATTGCGGCCGTTGTCAGGGAGACCGGAGTGAGCCGGAGCTCCGGGGCCCCCCGCAGCTTCTCAGAGCCCCCGCCGGGATCCGCCGTTCCCAGCCATGTTGACGCTGCCGCCGGGGCTGACGGAGGAGGAGGAGGCCCTACAGAAGCGTTTCGCCAAACTGCGCAAAAAGGTGTCGGCCTGGACCCACGCGGACCCCCAGCGGCCCCTCATTGCCTCCCCATTCCCGTCCCATCCCCTGAACGCCGTCTCCCCGCAGAAAAAGGCGCTGCTGGCGCTGAAGAAGCAGCAGAGCAACACTGGGCCCAGCAGCCAGGGGGGCATCAAGCGCTGTGAGTCGGGTTGGGGGGGGGCCTAAGGGAGGGGGGGAGGCTTGGGGCCCCTCAAGGCCTAAGGGATGCGGGGGGCTCACGGTGGAGGGAAGCGTGGTTAATGTGGGGATGGGATTTGGGGAAGGGCGTTGGGGGGGCGGGGTTTGTTTTGACTTTGGGAGGGGTGAGGTTGAGCCCCCCCACCGCAGCCATGTCAGACCAGCCCCCGGTGGACACCGCCACGGCCACCGAGCAGGCCAAGCTGCTTGTGAAGTCCGGTGCCATCAGTGCCATCAAGGCCGAGACCAAGAACTCGGGCTTCAAACGCTCCCGGACGCTGGAGGGGAAGCTGAAGGTGAGGAGTGTGAAGATGAACCCCTCCAAAAAAAAATCCCAGGGCCGCAGCGCCCCCAGAGCCCCACACAGAACCACAGAGCTCCCCTCAAATCCTATGGAAACGGCCCTGAAACATCAAAGTTCCACAAAAACTTCTCCAAAACACCACAAATTCCACAAAAAAAACCCAGATCTCGCTACAAATTCCACAAAAACAGCCCCCAGAACACCACAAATACTACAGAAAGGCCCCAAAATGCCACAAAACACTCAAAAACACTCCAGATCCCCCAAAACACACCAAACCACCTCATATTTCCTGCATTTTGACTCAAACCACCCTCCCAAATCCTTCCCATTCTCGCCCAAATCCCACCCAGAAATGCTGAGCCTCTGAAGAAACACCCCAAATCCCACAAAGCCCCTCATTGCCCCATAAGTCCAACAAAACCACTCAAATCTTCCTCATTTTGCTCCTAAATCCCCCTCGTTTCCACCCAAATCCCAGCCTAAATTCCCTAACACCCCCTGAACTCCACCTCATCCTACCCAAGCCCCCATTTTCCCCAGATTCACTCAAAATTCCCCCCGTTACCCCTCTCCCCCTTGGTCTTTATTCTTTATATCCCTCCCAGGACCCCGAGAAGGGCCCAGCCCCCACCTTCCAGCCCTTCCAGCGCAGCGTTTCGGCTGACGATGACACCCCTGAGGTACTGGGGGGGCAGGGAGGGACAGTTACTGAAGGGGGGCAGGATACCCAGAACAGGGATCCCGTCATAACCTCCCCTACCCCTGCAGTCACGGCGACCCCAGAGAAAATCACTCTATGAGAGGTGAGTGCCACCCTCCACTTTATCGCCCCCCACCCCTTCATTTGGGACTCCCATCCCTTTCTTTTGGTCTCTACCCTGATGCACACCCCTCCCCCCATCTCCGCCCCCCCCATATTCGAGCCCTCTCTCTGTGTTTATTTTGCTCCCCTCCCCCCCAGCTTTGTCAGTGCCAGCGAGCGCCTGCGGGAGCCCGAAGCCGGGGGGGGGACGTGGGGACCCCCCTGAGCGGGGAGAGCGTGAGCGCCGCTTGGACTGGGAGCAGGAGCCGGAGCCGGAGGAGCGGGGCGGCCGCGAGCGCGAGGCGGCTTTCAGGCGTAGGGGGGGGTCCTCAAATCTGGGGGAGTTTCGGGGTTCTTGTTGGTTTCAAGGGGGTCCCATGGTGGCTCTGGGGGTTCATCTGGAGGTGCTCTCCATGGAAAGGCTCCCGGCGCTGGGGGATGTCCTGGTGGGGGGGGGGAGGAGGGGGTTTTTGGGGGCATCGCATTACGGGGGTCCTGCTGGGGGGTCCCACTGAGGATGGGCCCCGTGGGGCGGGATCCCATCTGAGCGTTCTGTTGTTGGCGGCCCATTGGGATTGGGGGTTCTCCCGGGCTGTCCGTGTGGGGATGTCCCTCAGTGTCCCCACGGCGCCCCCCAGGTTCCGACTCGTTCCCTGAGCGCCCCTCCCCGCGGAAGGGCAACACGCTGTACGTGCACGGAGCCGAGCTGAGCCCCGAGCTGCTGCGCAGCGCCTTCGCGCCCTTCGGAGCCATCATCGACCTGTCGCTGGACAGCCCGCGCAAGTGGGCGGGGCCACGGGCAGGGGGCGGGGCCGCGGGCGGGGGGCGGGGAGCCAGTGATGGGGCTGGCGGGGCGGGGCTAAGGGTGTGTGGGCGTGGTCACAGGCCTAAGGGAGGGCTGAGGAGTGGAGGGGGGTGGGGGTGGCGGCGGTGCTGGGGTCGCTGATTTGTGGTGCCGAATGGGGAGCGGCTGTTGGGGTGGAGCTGTGCCGACCTCACCCCACTGCAGCTGCGCCTTCGTCACCTACGAGAAGATGGAATCGGCAGACCAGGCCATGGCCGAGGTGGGTGCTGCCGTGCGGGAGCTGTGGGGGGACACGTGGGGTGCTCCCAAGCGCTGACCCCCCCGGTGCCCCCGCAGCTGAACGGCGCCGTGGTGCAGGACGTGCAGCTCCGCGTCAGCATCGCCCGCAAACAGCCGCTGCTCGACGCTGCCACCGGGAAATCGCTGTGGGGATCTCTGGGTGAGCTGGGGGGGCACCGGGGGGCACAGGGACGCGGGGGTGCCAGCAGTGCTGAGTCCCTGCCCCCCTCCTGTGCCCCCGCAGCGGTGAAGAACAGCGCAAAGGGCTCCCACCGCGACAAGCGGGCGCAGGTTGTGTACAATGAGGATCTCTTCGGGGGGCAATAAAGGTTTACTGCACACAGCAGTGGTGTGACGGGCTGAGAATGGGGCACTGCGGGACGAGGGGGGTGTGAGGGGGGGAGGCTGAGCGGTGATCAGCTGCACACCCACCCTTAACTCAACTGCAAGCCTCACCTGGCTGCGGTCCTGAGCATGCTGGGCTGCCTGGTGCTGCTCTGAGCAGCACAGCTCTGGGAATCCCTCCCAGCTCCCAGGCTTCCTCTCAGAGATTCACGCTGCACAGAATAGCAGCTGGAGGCTTTAGGACCAAATAAGAGAGAAGGTGCTGCTCAAGCTCGTTCCTTTCCATGGAGCAATGATGGCAGTAACCCAGGGGCAGCAGCACTGCTGGGAAATCAGAAAGCGATGGGACGGTGGATGAGCACCATCCTGCTCTGCCTGAGAGCCACAGACAGACGTACAGCACTGCTGTCCTGTGCCAGCTTTATTTAAAAACACAGCCGGGAGCCGCTGGCGCAAACAGAGGAGCCTGACTACGTTCATACAATATCTTAAATAGAAGGCAAATATAAAATGAAAGATAAAATATTTACAGTAACAATAACGGCATACACAAAACGGGCAGAGTCCCACCCAGAGGCGAAGGCTGACAGCAGAAAATCACAACATCTTCTGCTGAATCACGGCACTCTTCGGCCGGCCCAGGGCTGCACGGCGCCCCCAGCGCTGCCCCCAGCGGCCCGGCCGGCTGCGCTCCGCTCACCTGAGCTGAGCATCGCTGCGGGGCGGCACAGCACAGAAATAAAGTATTTACAATAAACGCCTCTGCCGGCAGCAAACGCCTGGGAGCCCCTGCGGCATCACACGTCACAGTAGGAAAAGCCTGAAGTTCTGCTACAAGTTAAGAAAATAATCCCGAAGTTATCTGCGAGGGAAAACACGGAGCAGAGCGGGGCAGCAGCACAGCCGTCCCGCAGGGCCACAGCCGCACGTCGCTCCCTGCTGCCCTCGCACAGCGCGCGGATACAGCAGCTCCGGGAGCCCAGAGGCGCCGCCGCCGATCCTCGACAGCCCCACCTGCCGCGGAGCAGAGGAACGCAGGCCGCTCGCCCCGGCACCCGGCTCCGACCAGAACGCGTCGGAAGTACGATTAAAAAAAGGGGGCGAGAGCAACGCACTGCAGCGCGCGGCTCCTTCTCACACTGATGCCGCATCGCTGCTGAGAACCGGGAGGCAGCGCGGAGCCCCCAGCCTCGGTGGCACGTTTGGTCCAAAACACCAGAATAATTCTGCTCCCTCCCAGCCCTCCGCCGTCATGAAGTTGCCTTGAGGGATTCAAGTCAAAACAAAAGCAAACACAAACGGAACAAGAGCCGGCAGAACTCCAGAGACACGGCAGCTCCCAAGAAACAGGAACAGCAAAGCTTCCAGCTGCTCCCCACGCTGAGCACGGCCAAGGGAGGAGGAAGGAAGAAGCTTCAGCTTTAAGCCTTCAGAGCATCCCTGGATCAGATCAATTGGCAGCCAGCGCAGAGCACAGCTGGACGCCCTCAGGGCTGAGTCAGAGCTGCTTTCTCCTCTTGCTGCTGAAAGGAGCCAACCAGGATCAGGGAATGATGGACACGCAGGACCTCAGCTCTGACCAGCAGGAAAACTCAGGACAACGGAATGCAGGCTGCCAATTTCTACCAGTTCAACTGTGCTTTAAGACTCACGGTGAAGCCTCCTTCAGAAAAAGTATCACCCGGGGCATCCAACAAAAAAAAAAAAAAAAAAAATTTTTAATTTTTTTTTATATACCATAAGACTGTGCAGTTCAACTGTCAATCATCTCAGAAAGTTCAAGAAGGAGGTCATCCTCATCCTTCCCCGGGTCCAAGTCAATTTCTGCTTCCAGTTTCCCTCCTGAGATTTCCCAGATCAGCTTTTCAAAGTCATCCTCCACAGACAAGGGCGCCTTCCCAGCCCCCGTGGAGCTCAGCTGCTGCGCTTTGGCCACCGACTGGGAAGAAGCTGAAGCTGCACTCGAGTGCTCCGACTGCTCCCCATGGTCTGCTTGGCTCCCCCGATGCAGTTCAAGGCTTGGGAGAACAAGGAAGAGAACAACATTACACAGCATTTCTCAGCTGGAGGCATTTTCTGCTGACCAGCACTCACACCCAGTTACTCCTCCTGCACCTCAAACACAGGCGTTGCCAGCCAGTAACCCAGACTGCCTGCAGAGCCCACGTGCCAACAAGGCTGTTTTTCAGCGTGGGGATTTATCTACAAGAACACCGAGGGCCAGCAAACACAGCTCCACTTCTGTAGCCAGAGATGCTCTGCCTCCTTCGTTAGGCTGACTGGAAAAGCGTCTGCAAGCGTCTCTGCAAACACCTGTTTACTCATTTAGTTCCTTTGCCCAGTGTGCTCAGCAGGCTGCTCTAGAGTCCAAGGAGCTGAACTTCCATCCACCACCTCTGCGCTCCCTCACAAGATCTGTCTTAGTGTTGCTGGCTGAGTGGCGTTCTTGAGGACCAACACGTGCAGGACAACTCTGCATCAGCTCAGCTCAGGGTCACTCGGGCATTCAGAAACCCAAGAACACACTGGAGAGCTGAACCAAGTTGCAGCATTTCAAGAAGACCATCGAGGTAAACATCTCTGCTAGCTGCTAGAAAATGATTTGAGATGACTTTTCTTTTGCTGGATTTGGCATTCTTTATCTCAACCCCACCATCCTTCCCACACATGGAAGAACTCACGGCTCACAGAAAGACAAACCGCTTAAGAAAAAAAAGCAGCTGTGCTCATCACCTGCTGGGGGGTTTCTCTGCGCCAGGCTTGGTGAGCAGGCTGTCATCTGGCAGGGCTGGAGCAGCAGTCTGGGAAGAAGCAAGGCAAAGTCAACGATTCCTCAAGAGAGCTTCCCCTGCAGCGCTTCTCCTTCAGCACTGCTGAGCCTGAACCCAGCCCAGCTCCTTCAGGATGTCAGCTGCACACACAGCTGCGCAGCACCTCGGCTTTGGAGCAGCACAGCACGAACGCACCAAGTCCTGCACACCAGGAGTCACAGCACTGCAGGGCGCCGCGCCACCCATCCGCACAGCGACCGCTTTGCAGGGGGTCCTGCAGAACGCCCCGGCCCTCCGCTTCCTACAGCAGCTGCGCCTCAGTGCAAGTCTGACTGATGCTCCCCCTCCTTACCAGAGCTGCTTTTTTAGCTGGAGGCTCCTCAATTCCAGCACTACTCAGAGGTTTCACAGCTGCCACAGCAGAGGGAGAGATCTCAGCCGCCTTCCTCTTCAGCGCCCGCTTTGAGGGGGCGCCGGCTTTGCTGTCTGCAGGCTTCGCACTCGCCTTGCACTTGGCTGCAGTAAGAGGAAGAGAGAGCTGCTGCAGCCGTGCCTCGAGAGAAGCCCAGCTCTGCTGTCATTCCCACAGCCCTCATGCACACTTAAATATATCTGGCCAGCAAAGCTGCATTGCTCTTTCCTCAGCTCTCAGCAATCTTTCACAAAGCCAACCCTGCCTACCAGCAGTCCGACCAAAGGAACAAAGAAACTGCACAGCTCCACCAAACAACCCAGGACAAGGGAAGCAACCATACAGCAATCCCAGAGAAAGCAATACTTTTCTAAGACGCTCTGAAGTCCAATGGAATTCACAAACACAGACTTCTGTACTTAAAGCCTCGCTCCCTCTACTGAAAGCTAAAAGCAGCAGTGACAGCAGACATGAGGGTGGGACCAGACACTGTGCAAGCCCCAGCAGACCCTCAAAACGCACTCAGCTGTTCATCACGTCTGCAGTTTAGTGCCACTGTCTCTCTCCCATTCTCAAGCTGAAGCCTGGCTGGAAGGAACACAGTGAACTCAGAAAGTAAGCACCTCCCCTCCCAGCAGGGAGCAATGGCGCACGCCCACCGTGAGATCTGTCCTCGTGTCCCTTCACTTCCAAGGACCACTGCACCCCACGCTCAGTTCTCTGTTGCTGAGGTTGGTCTGGTGGTTTCCCTGGCAATACAGTCTCCCATCTTCCTGAGATTTCACCTATGCCTTTGCAAGCTGTTAAGCTGACCCTGAAGCCAGGGTGGATCCAGGGCTGCTATGCCCTGGACTTTTACCTTTGACTGTTTCTTCAGCAGCAGGTGGCACAGCAGCCACTTCCTTCTTCAGCTTGTCTGGCTGTCTCAGCTGCGGCTTCTCCTTTATTGTCCCCTCAAGGCTCTTCACTTGAGCTTTAGAATTTGGTGTGCTCTGATCCGAGGGCTACAAAGAAACAACGTGCAAAATAAGAACACCAGGGAGGATGCACTGAGAAAATCAGATTGGCAATATTTCCAGGATGGCCCCAACAGCTCATTACTGTCACTCGGTCACTGACGTTTCCTTCCATAAACGTCTGCCCGTAACAAGACCCAAGCTTTGCTGTGAAAACAGTTTCAGAACTGCACAATTTACAGCAAAGCGAGCTCCCTTCCATCAGCACAGTGCTGTAGCTGGTACCTACCACATTCTTCTTGAGCAACAGAAAGTCACTCCTGTTCCCCCATGCAGCATTCACCCGCACGCTGCCTTCCTCGAACACTTTTGTACCCAATGCCCTCCTCATCAGCCTCACAAGTTGCACCCGGTGCCAGCAGGGTTACAGCCTCACTGCCAGTGCAACCGGATTAACTCAGAGTTTGAGGACAATGCTGCCTGCAAAAGCTGTTGAAATGGCAGGACTGAAACTCTGCTGCAGCTCTTCACCAAAGCACGAAGGTGGGAACGCGCTCAGGACGGCGGCACAGGTGAGCATCAAGAACAACACGGCAAGGAATGGCATCAGTGTGTCCATGTTCAGAAGGGACTCACCTCTGCAGGTGCAGAAACAGCTTTGGGAGAAGCCCTGCTCAATTCCACAGCCTTCTTCTCTTCTCTTCCAGGTGCTTTAAAACAAACAAACAAAAAAATAACTCGGTCAACAGCAAGCATATAAAGAAACCCGAGTGCCCACGTCTCCTCCATGTGCTTGTTTCCTCACACCCATAGCACACAGAGAGGCAACACCATGCAGCCCATGCAGCATACGAGCTCTTACCTCCTTCCTGCACTTCTCTTCACAAAGCCTCTGTCACTCCCCAACCAACAACTCCCCCCCTGACAGAGGTTGGCCCCACGCTTTACAAACACGTTTACATACTAAGCAACACGTGCCAAAGATGAAGGTAACCCTGCACTCCACACCAAAAACAGATGGCAGGAAAAAAGTACAAGAGAAACTGAACCACGAAGCCTCACACGAGTTGATTTTCCAGAGAGAAATGCAGGCAGACACCATGGATTCAGTGGAAAAATACATGGATGTGGATAAAGGCACCCAAGTTTGCATTTTGTTGAAAGAAAAAAAAAAAAAAAAAAAAGCTATGGGAATTCTAAGCAAACTCCATTTGCTTGACAGGGAAGCAGACAGAGAAGCACCTCGTTACCTGCTAGCTTTGTGATCCGCAACAGCTTCCTCCCTGCAGGGGGAGGCCCAGGCTGTGCTGCTGCAGCTGAAACGTTTTCCCCGCTCTGCTGCATCCGCAGAGCTTTCTCCTGCTTGATTTCTTCCAAGGTTTTAATATGCACTTCTTCCAAAGGCTTGATTTTACGCGCTGGCTCTTCCAATTTCACTTTACCAGGCACCGATGGAGGCAGAATTCTCTGCTTCCTGCGCTCGCCCTCAGCTCTCTTCTCAGTGAGCAACTCTTCTCCTTTTTGTTTCTCTTCTTCCAGTCGCTTGTGTTTCCTTTCAGCCAGGGCTTCCGAGAAGGTTTTGATGCGACCCACAGGAGGAGGCCTCCCCCCTGCGCTGGGATCCTCCGCCCTGCAGCAGCTCTCTGCCTGGGGGGCAGCTGGGCTTTCTCCCCTCTGGTTAGCTCTCTCCAGACGGATCTCCTCCAGCGTTTTCACGTGGATCTCTGCTGCTGGCTTGGCACCCTTCTCTGTCATCACCAAGCAAGGAGAAGCACAAAGATTAAAAGAGCCCAAAGAGAGCTTAAGTCTCCAAAATTTGTCACAATATTATGGGATGTGAGCGCTCACAACAACGCATCACAGCACAGCTTCCCTCTGCGCTGCAGCTTTCTCTTCTAAGCCACCTGTCCTACTTTGAAAACCAGTCCCTTTTTTCCCCCCTTTCAAATTAATGTTTAGGGCTCTATGGAACTGGTCTAAATTCATTAAAAGGAAAAAGGGGAAAAAATTCCTAGTCATTACCCATTTGAGCACTAGTCTGTCCCAGTCTCTCCTTCAGAGACTTCATGCCTCGAACTACAGGACAGAACCAACCAGGGATGCTGTGTAAATTCCAGCTCTGGGCTCACATCTCAAAACAGGGCAGGAAAAATAACTGTAAACCCCAGTGGTGATGAGCTCAGGAAGCGGCAGAGAGCACTGCCAGGGAAGAGCAGAAAGCCTGCAGGAGCCTGCGCAGCAAACCCAGATGCTCATTTACCTCTCCTTGGTGCTTTGTCAACCTCGATCTTCTTCCCCAGCCTTTCTGCAAGGCTGCGCTTCAGCGGGAAGCCACTGACATCAGCTGCAGAGAAAACAACAACACTCCTAAGATAATTTCTTGGGAGGAAGGTTTTAGAGCAGTCAACCACAAGCTTCAATTTCTCCAAGTGCAATTTCTCAAATTCACCTTTCAGCTGCTACGACTTTGTACCATTTGCACAGTGAGCACAGATCCACGACACGCTTCCCCCCTCACACTTCAGCAACGCCCCCCGCCGCAGCCACGTTCAGAGGAGGCACCAAACACAGCCCCAAGCAGCCCTTACCTACAGAGGCTTTCCGTTTTCCAGGTTTCTCAGCAATACTCAATCGAACCACAGGCTCCTCCCCTACAGCAAAGGGCAATTTGGTTATTTCGCAGTGACCAGCAGCCAACAGACTTACTGCCCTGTTTGCTCATTTCCCACAGAGAAAACACCACCACCACCCCAAAGACACTTTTGACAGCCTTGACACGAAATAATATTGCCAGTGTAATGCACTCAGAAGCCTCAGTTGCTTCATTCCTCTCTTTAAATTCCTCGGCTCCCTCAGTGGCTCCAGAGGTCTTTGTGTAGCACCGCCTCCTGGGGCTCTTTCCTCTCATTTCTGAGTTGCTCTGCTCTCAGGTGGCTCCTGAGCTGCACACTGACCATTGCTGCACTGTTAGCCTGCTGCTGAACTTCACTGAGCACTGATCTGCCCCTGCTGTCAGCTCATTAACAAACACCACTGGGGTCAGGAGCACAGCAGGCACAGGTCAGCTCCTCTGGGAGCTTGCAGCTCAGCAGTAACACAGAGCTCACCACGGGGTTCACAGGAGTTGCTCTGTGATCCCTTACTACTACAGAACAGAGCACCTACAAGTGCCAACCTTCCAACAACCAGAGACTCCTGGTATAAAAGCATCTTTTGGATACGAAAAAGCAACAGCAGCAGACCAACACGGCCCAGCTACCTTAACTGTTATCTATCCATTCCATTCAGCAGCCACGAAATGCAAACAGAGGTACTCATCATTACCTTGCTTTGCAGACAGTGTCACAGTTCTGACCACTGTCCTCACGTTCTCCTTCTCTGGCACAGGAACGGCCCGAGATTGGAGCGGATGAGCAGGAACTCCTGAAGGCCCTTCTGATCAAAGGGAGCAAAGTGTTTACAGAAGAGAAAAGCCACTGCCAACAACAGAAACACACCTGACAGAACCATCACAAAGACCAAAACGCATTCATTACTTGTTAATGCCAAATATGCAACAGCAGTGCATGTAAACAAGAGGTGAACAATTTGCCTCTGATCTGCTCTTGGAATTCCCACCTAGAAGAGCAGCTGTCTGCATTTAAAACACCACATTGCATGCTGAAGTAGCTTGATAACCCCAGCTAAAAATGGAAGCCCGTCTCTCATGCAGCTCCCAGCCACCAGCAACTGCTACTGCAAACTCAGCAGTGCAAGAAAAAGGTTCCCTTCCATGAATGGCTCCATTCCAACACATCGCCAGCTATGCAGGTGTCATCAGAAGGGGAAAAAAAAGGGAAGAAAACAAACAGAAGGATAACAAAGTAGGGCATATCAACTCACCGCTCTGTTTTTTTGTTTTTTCCTTTTGCTTCTTCAATTTGATTTCTTCCAGCGTTTTTATTCCAAAATTCAAGGTGTCATCTGGGAACACAAAGCGGTGAATGAGGCCGAGGGGCAGAGGGACGCACTGAGGGGCTCTGCCAGCTGCCTTGTGCTCAGAACATCCGTCACAAACCCTGCCAGCTCCCCCACAGGGCAGAGCACCATGGAACTGATGTCTATTGCTGCCCTCTTTCAGCCTTCAGGACACAAAAAGTAAGCTTCACCCCCGATTTTAACCCATCTACGTGACTTTGGATTTCTCTACCAGCAGTGTGGCTTTCACCAGTGGTTGAAGAGATGCACAGAGACGCTTAAACCCCATGCTGTGGCCCTGCCTAACAAAGCAAACAAAGCAGTTTACCTTTCTAACCTGAAAGGCACACGAAATTACGAGGTAGGAACAAGACCATGGAAATAGCTGGGTCCACTCAGCAGCCCTGTGCTCTGCTGTGTTTGCACAATAACTGGCAGGTTCTTCTGATTCATCCTACCACTGTGCTGGAGTACCTTGTTTTGTATCAGCATTAGATTTCCTGGTGGAAATTATCCGCAATCCGTTATGGTTTTCTTCAGCTGGTTGCTGGACAGGTGTTTTTGTTTCTTCTCCCTCCTCAGAAAGCTGATCTGCACAGGGATAAAGAGTCAGCCTCCTCAGTTATGCAATGAAATTCAACCAGATTTCTAACATTTCTGTAGCTCACACAATGACACTTCAGCCCACAGTTAATATTCTTAAGTACAAACATAAATGATTACAGAAAGGCTCCTGATTTCAGCAGCTGTACTGACCTGGTGAACACACAGAAGCAGCCTAAGTGAACAGAGTAACTAGTGGGGAGCTGGAAAAAGCACCTGGGGCTCCAGACTCTCCACACAGCTTTAACCAGTGCATGCTCTGTTACTCTCCTGACCGAACAGAGAAAACTCTCCCCTGAGATCCACACTGCAGACCAGCAGCAGGAGTGGCTCTGAGCTTCCCTCCTGCATTACAATTCCTGCTCACTGCTGCCAGGCTGCTGCCCCATCCTCATCAGCCTGCAGGTGTTCTACGAGTCACAGAACACAAACACCTTCAAGATCAAAAGCAGCAGCAACCACACTCACCATCATCATCTTCATCATCGTCTGCAGCATTGATTACAACTGGAGGGTGCGTAGGGCTTGGGACATTTTCTGAGTTTTCCACTTTCATCACTCCCCTCAACTGTGGAGAGGGGTTGGACTGCACAGAAAGCTTGCTCTGCTGCAGCGTTATCTGAGCTGCCTTCAGGTCATCATCTGCAGACTCCGGCGGACTCGGCAGCGTGGCTGCAGGAAGGAGAGGAACACCAGGAATTTAAAGCTTTGACCCCAACCCACAGCCACTGCACAAAGATGGCAGGCAGGGCTGACAACCCGCACAGGAAGAGTAGAGTCTCCAGTTGCCATCCAGTCACTGGCTGCTCTGTCAACAAAGAATCCCCATCCCCCCCCCCAAGATTCACCTCCCTGACAGCAGTAAAAGCTTAAATGGAGGAAAACAACCTGCAAGGGAACGGCCACAGGAGCAGAGAGAAGCTGAGCATGAAAGAAAAAACCAAAATGTCAGAAGCACACGCAGTTCAGCCGTGCCCCCATCAGTGCACTTCCTCCTGCACTCACAAACGAGTGTCAGCTGGCGTCTTCACAACACCACACCCAACAGCCAGAGTTGATCCTTCATAGTCAGGAAAGACAAACTCACTTTTGCTTGGTGGTAAGAAGAGCCCATCGACGTAACGCCCCTTGGTGTGATGAAAGGCACAGTTGGATTTCTGGCAGCCTCCCGGCTGGTTCTCCCAGAAGCAGGGGATCTCACTGCGCTTCTTCTGAAGATACAAAGGAAGAAAAGCTGATGGCAACGGGCACCTGAAGTTTGCAGAGGGAGACTGAGCTCCAGATCACGGCACTGAGCCGGCTGTCACCCAGCAGCACTCAAACCCCACTCTGAAGGGTGCACAGCTGTGAGCGCGGGGCTCAGAGCTCCCAGCATTGCATGGCAGAGGCCAGCAGTGCAGAAGGGGCTGAACAACGCCTCTCTGATCGATGGGGCTCTTTAGCATCTGTTGAGAGAATGCTGTTGGTGTCTACTACAAGGATTTCCAGCTAAGAAATAGCAAAGACACCGAGTTCTCTTCCCTCTACTTCCTCCCAGCCCCCTCTTGACAGCAGGAACCACCATCATTTCAAAGCAAGTGAATCTGATCTGCAAAAGCCCATTCAGCCCAGCTAAAGCAACGGGAGGTGGGTTTGGTGATGAATTCTGAGGAGCCAGCACTCACATCGATCTCCATGTGCCTGAACCTGCAGACATTCCTGAAGCAGCGGCCCTCCTTCCACAGCGTGCAGATGGTTTCGTTGCCCAGAGCAGCTTCGCAGTGCCGGAAGGGACAGCTGTCTCCCTGTGACCCAATGGAAACAAAGAGAGGAAAATGAAAAAGTGCAGCCTGACAGCTGGCCGCAGTGCAATCAGCTGCTAAGTGCACCAAAGATCAGTCATGCCTCTACTCCACTCCATCCTCTTAAGAACCAAAAGAAAGAAAAATGAAGGAAAAGAAGCAGACCTTGTTACAGGTGGAATAGAAGTAGAAATAGCAATCATCTCCTTGCTTCGACATGCTGGGCGAGCTCTTGGAAGCAGCTCTGTCCCAAGGATCTCTTGCAGTCCCCTGTGCTCTAAGAGTTGGCTCGTGCTTCCTCGGACTGAACGTCTTCTACTGCCTGGATCAGCAAAATCTTCTTTTTAAAAGGAACCCTAAGCAAAATACCAACAAGTGGAAAATCATGAGGAATGCACATCTTTCCAGCTTTCTTCTGTTCATCAAGTTAGTCTCTTGGAAGCAGCTGTCTCAGAACATCGCCCTCCTCAGCACTGCAGTCACAGCGCCCTGACTCAAGTGCTCAACTGCCAGCCCCCAAACTGAGCCCCTCCTTCACCACCGCGGCTGTCAGTCACTCTGTAACCCCCAGCAACTCCGACCGACCGCTGCAGAGCCTCGAGCTCACCCACCTGGACAACCTCAGCAAAGACAGCGATCTTCAAAGCCTTCCAGTTAACTTCTCCTGTAGGCCGAACCAACACTGAATCCGTGAATTAATAATAAAGGGGTAGAAAGAATTTTCCTCCTCACTTTGCCAAGGGAACCTCTCATCCACAAGTCAAACACGGGATGTGCTCTTAAACATCTTACAACTAATGGAGGAAGCGAGTCCATTGGAATGCTCTCAGAGCGGAGGCAGCCAGGGTTAGTGAGCTCTTCGAGGAGAAAAAAGGAAAAAAGGGGAAAAAAAAAAAAAAAAGAAAAAACCCAGCGCACTTAAAGGCGAACTCGTGATCAAAGCGGCTGCAAAAATGAGGCTCCGTCTTCCACAGCCGGGCAATTTTTGTTTTAATTCTATTATATTTTTAAAATTTAAAATTCTGTAAGTTGGAATTTCTGGTCTTCAAGATTTCTTCACCTATTAAGAAAACACAAAAACCTTCCCCCGTCTTTATTACCTGTACAGCACAAGCATGCCAGTGCGCATCGACACACAAACACAGCGGGCGGGAGCGGCAGCGAGAGCAGGGGCGGGGGGCAGGGATGGCAGGGAGCCGGGCACGGGCAGAGGAGCGCACCGCGGCCGGAGGGAAGCGCCTCGGGGGCGGCGGCGCGCAGCGGAGGGGCGCTGGGGCAGCGCACAGGGCGCATGCAGGCGGCGCGAGGGAAGGGCAGCGAGCGGGCGGAGCGAACAGAGCGGCGAGGCGGGGAAGCCTCGCTTTGCGAACGGCGTGGCTGCACGGTACGGAGCATCTTCAATCGGCCGGCTTTGTGCGGGCCGGTTCTGCACCGCAGGGCGCTGCACGTTCGCCACGTGCCGCTCCCTCGCCGCGCCCGGCTCGGCTGCAGCGCGTTTTGCTCAGCCTCAAGAAGGGCTTGGGCTGGGTTGGCTTTTTTCTGGTGTGAAATAGAATGCTTTGACATTTCACTTGTTTTAAAGATATTAAATGCCGTAAAACCTGCAACCAGGCCAGACGAAGTTCAAATGAAAGTGATTCTGAACTCTTTCGTTAAAGTGCTGCACGTTTCTGTGCAAAGGATTTCCGACAATCAATAAGGAAAGGTTGGAACCTTTTACTCACACAAACACTAGGGAATTTTCCAGGAAATATTTTTTGGCAGGGAATTTTTCCCAAATCTAAAATAAAGAGAGGAGAAGTCGGGTTCTCACGTTAGTTGCTGGCTCGACTGCGTGACAAAGGGAATAAAAACAGCAGTTAAGGGCAAATATTCTTTCTCCAACAGCAGTGCTCCCTTCTGACCTTTAGCACCTTCACAACCAGATCATCTGGCGCAGATGCCCACACACACCTGCTCCTAACAACCTCAGCACGGAGCTGGGCACAAACACGTCTCTGGCTTCTGCTCCGTGGCGCACACAGCTCAGCACTGCACTCACGGCCTTCGGTTCTCCTGCTCGCAATTGGAAGGGATCTGGACTCGGGAGCAGGAAGAAAACACACCTAGAAATATCCCACAGCCCTGTGCTCCCTGCAAGCGCTTCAATTTTATAACAGGTGACTCCAAACACACCTGTCAGCACGACAGACCAAAGCGCTGCGCCCTGGGAGCCTGCGCACAGCGAGTAACTCTGGAGCACTCAGCACATCTCAGCAGTCTGCTTCACCTTTTTAGAGACTGCCTTTCTCCTCCAGAACGCCAGCCAAGTTTTTATATCAAGAGATTTCAAGTTTGTTCTGTACAAAAGAATTCCAGCTACACTGAGGTCACAGCAGCCGGGACTCAGTGCACAGACAGACAGACACAGAGCAGCCCTTGCCAAAAGAAGACAGGTAGCACAAAGGAAGCAGCTCATTTCTTTTGCATCTTGCCTTCCTGAGCACCAAACACCACCATCTATTCCCCACTCTTGCTTTCCAGTTTGCTGTCCTGCAGAGAACAGCAGGCAGGAGGATTTTTCTGTGCTTCAACTAATATGTTAGAGGAAGATGACCACATTTACCCAGCTGTTTTTGTTGTTGTTTACCTACAGCATGAAGTATTTCCCTTGCAAAGACTCTGCTGCCACTCACCCTGCAGCAGATTCACAGCACAGCAACCTCACACAGAGGGGCAGGAAAGGCAGCACTCCATTGTGCTGGGGGCAAAGAGAAGCGTCAGGCAACAGAAGTGTTTGTCTGAATTTCTGCGAAAGCACTTCTGAAAGCATTGCTTTCGTGAAGAAAAGTCCCTGTCTTTTCCAGGTGCTCTGGGCTCACACCTTGCAGTCTTTGCTCTTCTTCCAGGTAACAATGAGAGCTGTAACACAGCCCGTTCAATGAAGTCCTGCCCCCCATCTTGTGCAGCAACACCAGGCACAACACACCACGTGGAGGCAGGACCTGCAAATCCCAGTCCTCAACAGATTTTTAGAGAGTACCAATTTTTAATGGAGTTCCTCTCTCTCTTAGTCCATAACTCCTTTTTTTCCTACGCTGACATTGAGTGGTTCTCTGTCCCTTTCCTTCTTAGTGCCTGACCAGGCACTGGGAACCTCTTCCAGATGAAGGGTACTACGAAGCTGCTGCCTCTCTAAGGGGAGAGAACACACTCATTCCTTTTTTATTTCTGAAATCACTGTTGGGCTTTGGTAGCAATTTACTAAGAGAGTAAGGATGATTCATCATCCTCACTGAAACACTGTACGAAGTCTCAAAAAATAACCCATTTCCCCTGGAAACAGCCATTTGAGAGGGAAGGGAGAGTGGGAGGAACTCTGCCCCAGACAAACCTTTGTGCTGACGCACCTTCCAGCCACCACCTGGCAACCAACCCACCTCAGCTGCTCAGCCCGAGGCCTGTCCAATTCACACACAGCACAGCGGTGGTTCTGACATGGGCTTTCAAGCCACCTATCCTCGGAATATCTTGGTTTTTTTAGGATGAAATAACACAGAGCTGCACTTCCCAAGAAAGGCCCAGAGCTCAGAGCTCAGGTCTGCTAAGGAGCCGAACATTCCCACCTCTGCAGTGCTTCTGTGAGGTCATCTCACACATCACTCCTGCCCTTTACCAAACCGGAGCAAACCAAACAGGCACCTCTTAATCCCAATCTTTAAGAAACAAACACAAAAGTTTGGTTTTAAGCAAACTAAAGGAGAAATTACGATGACAACCGAGTGCACCCAGAGTTAGTCGGACCCTGAAGCTCTACGGGGAACGGAGGGGCGATCTGTCAATCGCAGCACATTCCCCACAGGCACTGCTGCTAAAGGAAGGCACGACGCCGTAACTCCGCAGGGCCAGAGGCGGGATTTCCAGTCTAATCAACGGCCCTCCCGAACGCTCTCTGCCTCTCCGGACGCACCGAGCCCGTGGGAACGGCGATGCGCGGGGCCGGGCAGGGCGAGGAGCAGCGCGGGGCCGAGAGGAACCCGGCCTGAACTGAGAGGAACCCAGGGGGAGCCGCTCGGCCCGGGGAGCCGAGGAACGCCGCACCGCACCGCCCGGCGGCGAAGGGCGCCCGCGCGGGAGGCTCGGGGCCTGGCGGTACCGGCCGCGACGCGGCCTGCTTCCCCCGACGGGAGCGGAGGGGACCCGGGCCGGGCGGAGGCCTTTCCCCGCCCCCTGCGGTCTACGAGCGGCTATAGTTACCGGCGAGCAGGGACTTTACCGAACCCCAGGGACCGCGGCCGCCGCTCTATCTCCCCGCTCCGCTGGGGCCGCCGCTCGAGCCGTCGCCTTTCCCCTACTGCCAGCGTCAAAGATGGCGTCTGACATACGGGTACCTGGGTACCCCCGTAAGCAAGATGGCGCCCGTCGCGGCTTCACTTACACCCGCTTCCGCCCGCTGGAGCGAACGGCGGCGAAGCTGTGCGCAGGCGCAGAGTGAGCGCGGCCCCGCCCACCGCGGCCTCGCGCCGGAAGTGGGGCGGGGCTGGGCTGTCACTTCCGTCTGGATCCGCCCCCGTTTCTGGTGCGGTGCGGTGGGTTTTGCTTCCTTAACGCCAGGCGAGCTGTTGAAGTCTGTGGTATCAAAGTTACAAACGTTCGCTCAAATATTTGTGTCCGTATCTTCAGTAAGATCATCCGCACGGGTAAAATCCCAAAGGGGGCTCGCACAAACGCATCCTCTTCCAATATACGGAAGCTCAGCACCGGGTCAGTTCTCCCTTGACGCTTAATGGGCGTTGGGCGACGCTGAGGCGTGGTGGCAGGGAGAGATGGGTTGAGTTGAGCTCCCTCCTGCCTCGCTACCATTTCTGGAAACGTCCAGAAGAGGACAATGTTCTCTTGCTTTCAAATTCCTCCCATAACAAAAACTACCAAAGTGTGAAGAAAAGGAAGAGGGGGAAGAGGAAAACAATTCAGTTATTTTAATTGATTGATTTAGTTGGAAAGAAGTGCAGGAGGGAAAACAAAAAACAAAAAACACACAACAACACACAATTAGACTTTACCCCAGAGCGGAAGCGGCAGGCAGCCGCAGCGCAAACCAAGAGGGCACAACGCAAGAGGTCAGAAAGCAGCCACTGGTCAGCAGCGGGGCTCCTTTATTATCTCACAGGGATGGGTGGCTGATACAGCTGTGGTAACACCGGCAGGACTAAAGCTTTGCCCAGAGCTGACCGCGGGTGGCAGGTGGTGGTGGTGGTGGGTTGTGATGGGAGAATGGATCTGGGAGATCCCTGAGCCATGGGGAGAGAATTCAGGACCATTCACAGCGGTCTGTGTCCTCGTGACACTGCCATCCCACAAAGCTGATTTCTGTTCCCTTCTATGTGAGCTGTCCTCACAAAGGGGGGGACAAGCACAGCCCCCACATGGGCTCTTCTATGGGGGGACACGTGCTCCTGAAGTGAGAGCCTGTTACAGGGTGAGATTTGGGGGCAGGGAATGAGAAAGACCCGTCCCCACCATTCCCCATGGAATCTGGCAGCTCTGGGCAGGAGGTGCGAAGGTGGAGAGCTCTGTGAGTGGGGGGAGGCCCATGTCCCCCAGGCACACTGGCCAGGTGACTACAGGCAAAGCACAAGGGTTTTTTGGGGGAGGTGTTTGGATTTGGCTGCTTTGGGGGTCAGAAACCCATTGTTGGGTTGAAAGAGCAGTAGCATTCCCAGCCCGGGGCGCTGGCTGAAGGAGCAGGCACTGCCCAGCAGCAAGGCTCCCAGCACAGAAACCACCCGACATTAGCAGCCCCAGCGAGTACACTGCTCACAACCCATCTCCTCTGCCTTTGCAGCTGCTGGTGTAAAGGGCACACAAGCCCACTTCCAGGGCTCTGCAGGCCCGCAGGGACCCGGGTTTACCATCACCTACGGGTGACCGTGTCGTTGCAGCTGGCTGCTTCCACGTGTCTCTGCTGCAGAGCACTGCCTTGTGTGTACTCAGCTGTCCTTGGGGCTGGGTTTTGCTGCCGATGAGAGGAGGGTCTCCCTGAGCCGGTGGGGTCCCTCCCACACAGTCCCTAGCAGGGAA